ACAGGTATTTACCAAACACTTCCTCTGAGTCAGGCAGAGGCCAGATACGAGGGTGCAGTGATGAACAAGACAGGCCTGTCCTCAAGGAACCCACGCTGGGGATAAAGAGGGGAAAAGGCCATTGAATGCCTGGTGGTCAGGGCTATGGCAGGGCCAAGGCCACCTGCAGGGGGCCCAGCTCCTGCCCAGCTGTGGGAGCTCACCTGGCCTGCTGGGACAGAGCAGGGCTGTGCGACATCCTCATGGGGTCACTTGGGGATCTTCCTTCGTTTGTCGTTGGCCCCATTTAAATGGGAATGGAGCTAAAGCTAAGAGTCAGCTCATGAGCAAACAAGGCCGGACAGCGGCTCTGGAGCCAGACACGCCCAGTGTGACTCCTGGCGTTGCCACCTAACTGCGATCACAGCCTTGGGCAAGCGTCCTGTCACTGCCATTCTCAGTACCCACAGCTCTGTGAGGAGACGACGGTAACACCTGCCCACACGGTTCCGGCAGGGATTAAGTGATGAAGCGTGACCCTGCACGTAGACCACGGGGCACAGTACCCAACACCTGCGTCTCCACAAATAGTAGCTGAGGAGCAGGAGGGCCGGTGGCCTTGGAGACATGCTGCCCTGGAGCACGACCCCACAGATGCATACTGAGCGTTGGCTCTTTGCCCGGCACAGAGAAGTGCCGAGAAGCACGCAGTGCCTTCAGGACCCCAGGCATTTCACGGTGTAATGAGACGGACATTCGCAGCCCTGTGGCTGCAGCACAGGACGAGGCCCCTGCTGAGTAGCTGTGCCCGGCAGTGCTCAGAGTGAGGGGGAGGCAGCCCCATAAACGTAAAGTGGGCATCTAAGGCTGAGCGGCATTGGGATCGTAAGAACGGGCATTTCTGGGACTGAAAGCTACTGGTTGGTGTCACTGCGGTCCCTCTTGAAGGGTGAATGTTTAGTGAAGTTGCTTCAGATCTTTTCTCTCTTGTAGTGAGGGGGGGTGAGGGGCATTTTGCCCGGGGCTGGGGCTGGGCTGTGACGTGTCGTCTTCACCAGCAGGGACAGGGTTATCCTCACAATCCTCCCGAGGCTTGTGTGTCCAGCCAGTTTCAAGAGATTCCTCATCTGACCTTGCAGGAGTGTGATCAGAACTGCATCAGGCATCCTCCACCCCCGTCCCACATTTTAAGAGCTGGGGCAGCGAAACCGAGGGGGGCTCCCAGCTGAGCCAGGCTCTCGGGGTGCTGGTGCGTTGATCTCCCCCCTGCATCCTAATGCAGCGAGAACTGGGCTGATAATAGATCTTTCTTGTGTTCTGGCTTTACAGCCAGTTTTTTTTTTTTATTTCATCATATTATGGGGGCACAGATGATTAGGTTACGTATGATGCCGTTGCCCCCAAGTCCGAGCTTCCAGTGTGACCATTCCCCGGGAGGTGCGCATCGCACTCATTGTTTGTGCATATGCCCTTTCCCTCCTCCCCCTCCCCCCTCCCCCTGCCCAACATCCAATAGATGTTATTCTTATATGTGCACTTAAGTGTAGATCAGCTAATACCAATTTGATGGTGAGTACATGTGGTGCTTGTTTTTCCATTCTTGGGATACCTCGCTTAGTACAATGTGTTCCAGCGCTTTCCAGGAGTATACAAGAGGTGCTATATCACCATTGTTTCTTAAAGCTGAATAGTACTCCATGGTATACACAGACCACAGTCTATTAATCCACTCATGTGTTGATGGACATTTGGGTTGTTTCCACATCTTTGCAATTGTGAATTGTGCTGCTATAAACATTCGGGTGCAGGTGTCTTTCTTATAGAGTATCATTTGTTCTTTTGGGTAGATGCCCAGTAATGGGATTGCTGGATCAAATGGTAGTTCTACATGCATCTCTTTAAGGTATCTCCATATTGCTTTCCACAGAGGTTGCACTAGTTTGCAGTCCCACCAGCAGCGTATGAGTGTTTACAGCCAGTTTTTTTAACATATAAAAAAAGAGGGTGGGAAAGCACCTGTGCTTGCCGAGCTACGCAGCAAGCCGCTTGGTCTCCATCCATGTTAGAACAGACGTGGGCATGAAAACATTCTTCAGTGTGAGGAGGACAGAATTAAAGTTAACTTTTGCCGAGTGCTAACGGGAAGACTATGGGACAAATTCTGATAAACAAAGACTGTAGTGCACAAGCGGGCTTGGAAAATGCCCACCAATGTTCTCTTGAGCAAAATAGCTTGTTGCAAATGACGAAAGAAACTTGCAGCATGGGGCACAGCTAGGAGCCACCTGAGAAATGGCCAAGTGGGATTGTTCCAGGTGAATTTATGTAACGTGACCCTGTTCATCCCCACACATTTCCATGGGAATGTTGAGCCCCAGCAATCTCTGCCACACCCAGAGCCCCCGCAAAAGGACTACGAGTGTAGCAAAGCTTGAACGCATTTCGTATTTAAGAGTAAACAGCTTTTAATGGAATACCCAATGTATTCTGCACATTACCAAGAGTATTATGTTTTGCGCAAAATAAGCCTCCGGTGTAAAATCTTGAAAACACAGCAGAACAGCACCGGAAACTGACGGCATGACAGCGTTGCAGAGAGGAAGGCAAAGTTGTTTTGTTTTTGATTTTTTCCAATATCATAATCTTCTCTTCAGGCTTCTTAGGTGACAGTGAAAGCCGCCTGTTTTTATTGCGCGGTGTGGCCAGTGTCTGTTCTCAGCCATCTTCATGTAACATCGATCGGGGTCTTTAGCTGAGAAAGCTGGATCATGTGAGATCCCACTCCCCTCTCTCCTCTGCAGCCCGGGGTCCGTCTGCATTTTGTGGAGCTGGGCTCCGGCCCTGCCGTGTGCCTCTGCCATGGATTTCCTGAGAGCTGGTTCTCTTGGAGGTACCAGGTAAGGAAAACCAGGGAAGGTGCACCCCAGTTGGGGATGGGTGGGAGGGGGGTCTATATGGTGTGGCCCAGCCTGGAATGTCATGAAGGAGCTGAAACCTGACAGTGAAGCATTGTTGTCCCCAAAGTATGACCATGATGCCTCAGAAATGTTGGCTCCAGATCTCAGGGCCGTGCTAGATCTTGAGGTACCTTTCTTCGCACATTAGAACAAGGGCACACTTCTTCAAGACACTCTACGCCACCTGCTGGGAAATCTTTGCAGTGAACGTAGACATCTACAAGGGCTTTGCTAGAAAGGTGCTCTCTTAGATGTGGCATTTATGCAGTGCACAAACCCTACCGCCATCCCTGGCAGCCCCTATCCAGGTGGGCTCATTTCAGCCCCATGTGAAGATAACAGGTAGTTCCATGTGGGACTTTGGATTGAGCCATTTACAGGAACAGAGGGATAGAGGGAAGCAAAGAGGGAGTGTTCACCAAGGACTGATGAGACCATGCTGGAGTGTGCCTGAACTGTTTGTCTTCTAGATCCCTGCTCTGGCCCAGGCGGGTTACCGGGTTCTAGCTGTGGACATGAAAGGCTACGGAGAGTCTTCCGCTCCTCCTGGTGGGTTAGCTGTCCTGCAGCTGTCCTCTGTTGGTCATGCCTCTAACTGTCCAAGCTCTCCACCCACTGTGCTTCCCCCGGTCCCAGCTCAGAGCTGGCAGCCCTTTAAGAGGGTCTGACCTCACCCCTCCCCGTTCTGCAGTGTCCTGTGTGTGTGTACTTTGGGCCTCAGATGTTCCTACCCCCACACTCTGAATACAGGAACCCCAAAGGCCTGTCCCCGAGGGAGTCTCCTGCTAGTCAAGGGGAAGTAGGACATAGGATGCACCGTCCGCCTCCAGAACAACTTTCGTCTCACAAAACTGGAAGTCTGTGCTCATTAAATGTCAATAACTCCCCAGTCCTCCCTCCCCCCAGCCCCTCTCTCCCTATGACTCTGACTCCTATAGACGCCTCATGTCAGTGGAATCGTACAGTATTTGTCCTTTGGTGTCTGGCTTATTTCACTCAGCATGATGTCTTCAGGGTTCACCCACACTGCAGCATTTTGCAGAATTTCCTTCCTCTTCAAGGCTGGGTACTATGTTATTGTCCGTTTATCTGTTCATCCATCCATGGACACGTGGGTTGCCTCTACCTGTGGCTGTTGTGAATAGTGCTGCCCTGAACTTGGGTGTGTAGACACCTGTCTGTGTCCCGGCTGTCGGTTCTGTAGGGCGTGCGCCCAGAAGTAGAATTGCTGGGTCACGGGGTTGTTCACAGGCCAGAATCTCAGCCCAGCGCCTGTGGATCCCAGTGGGATCTATCCAGGGTGGGCACAGATGGCCTGTGGCCCCCAGGGACAACGTGTGGGCTTATGAGCATTTTCCCGGCAGGTAGAGTCCTTTGTTTTGATCAATTTCAGAGGGTTCCTCAGCCCAAAATTGTTAGGAACCTTGGGTGTGGAGGCAGGAACGTGAGGCAGCCCGCTGTGGGCAGAGTCCTGGTCCCTCCAAGTGTCAGAGATGCAGTCAGCGGCTGCCCACCCCTTTTCTGAGCTGCTTCCCCCACAAGCAAATCCAACACACATCCGCACATCTGGCTGTGCGGTTTGAAGCCATCTGACCTGGGCTGGGGCTCTTGGTCACTCAGGTGACCGACCCCTACCAGGCCACTCGGCATGTCATGCCGGGGCGTGTCTCTTGTGGCCATTCCCTAAATGTCATGGTGCACCCATCGACTCAGCAGCTGCTGTGGCCTCTCGAATGATGCAGAAGCATTTGAGACAAAGAAAATCCTTCATTCTAAACACCCAGGGAAGTCAGTTAAGGGGTTCTGTTCTTTTTTAATTTAATTACTGAAATGTTTAATTTTTATTCACATTAACTGCAGTCTT